ACTCAATGGTACCTAACAACAACAACAACATGAGTCAGAACGGACTCGAAGGCACTTAACAACAGCAACAACATTATTAATTACTGAGCAAAAACTTTTTTATTTTTCTCCTTTTCCTTTAATTATCACTTCCTTCTCAAAAATAAAAAGTATTCTGAAATTATTATGAATTGTACTGTACTAACATAACAAAGCACTAGTTAATTGTTAATGACTGGTTTGGACTAGTAAAATGATTGGAAGGGAAAGTTAAAAAATAAAATAAAATAAAAAAGTAATTGATGCTGAGACTGTAAATTCCAAAAAGGCAAAGTCCACCCCCCCCCCAAAATAAAAGCTAAAGAGGACAGAGAGAAACACTGTTAATTGATGATGTATGGAGGGGGGGATTATAATCAATGTAATGAAACAAGTCATATGAATGGTTGAATGTGAAACTGATGATGTGCCCTGTAAACTTTTCACTCAATCCACAATAAAAACCTTAAAAAAAAAAAATAAAAAGTAATTGATGGAGCTTTACAAATACTAATGGCCACAATATTGTAGCAAAAAGACCAGAAAAGATGACAAAATCAGTAACTTTAAAACACCAGCAGCAAGCAATAACATTTGCTTGAAATCTATGCAAATTTGAAGCATCATTATAATTGGGTGATAATGACAACTCAGACCAAAGCACATTAGGTTCCGACCCATAGCGACCCTGTATAGGGTTTCCAAGGAGTGGCTGATGAGCTTGAACACTGACCTTGAGGTTCAAACCAACTTTTCAGTTCAGCACATTAACCATCAACACCACACCAGGACTCCCAATTTACAGCAACAGTAGTTGGTGGGTGTGTGTCACCCTGTCAGTTCTGACTCATAGTGACCCTGTGTAGGGTTTTCAAGGCTGTAAATCTTTACAGAGCAGAAAGCCTCATCTTTCTCCCACACAGTCCCTGGTAGATTCAAACCACTGACTTTTTGGTTAGCAGCCCAACTAGTAATCCACTATGCTACCAAGGTTCCTAGAGCGTACTGTTGTTTTTTTTATGCAGTGTGGACTCGATTCTGACTCACAACGACCCTGTACAGGGTTTCCGAAGCTGTAAATCTTTACGGGAGCAGAAAGCCTCGTCTTTCTCCCGCGGAACAGCTGGAAGTTTCGAACTGCTGGCCGTGAGACTGGCAGCCTGATTCGTAACCACTACGCTACCAGAACTCCTTCCAGAGTGCATTAGAAAGTTCAAAAAGTAAATTAGCATTGAGTTTTAGCCTTGTGGGCATATTGATGCATGTGAGCTGAGCTTGTGAAAAACACTTTTGCTGTTATATCTGAATACAGGGATATTTTTATTTAAAAATAACAAATTTCTGCAGAAATGCTGCACATAAATTTAACAGACAATTATTTGGTTGTCAACCCCTCTCAGTGTCATCCAATGTGTTCCAACTTCTGAAACCCATACCTAGTAACACCACTGAAATGCTTACCTCACCCCCACCCCCATTTATAACTATGACACTTGGAGTTCTTCTGTGTCCTTATCTGACAACTAGGACTTAGTAGGGTACATGTTGGGTCACTAACCACAAAGTCAGCCTTTC